ACACAGTTTCAGATGGAGGCTCTCTAGGTTATTTCTGTTTTATTTATCGTTCGTTGATTGTTATGTACTTTAGCTTTGCATTTTAACATTGGGATGAAATGTTATAGGCCCGGGTGGAAGCAGAAACGAAGCAACGGGAGGAGATGGAGGCGAGAATGGAGGAGATGATTCAGTAGAGGATAGAGGCCGAGCGACAGAGGATGGAGGAAGAAAATCGGTTGATGTTGGACCAAATGTTCCAATACTTGCAGAATTTTGCATCGAGTATGGGTCAACCTTTGCCGCCACTGCCACCGATGATATTCCCTGCACCTCAGCCACCCACAACTACTCCTATGAGTCACTTGACATCTTATACTGCAGATTGAATACTTTGACTTAGAGAACTTTAGATGTTAGCCTCAAGACCCAGACTTAGAGAATTGCGGTGTTGCATGCTTGCTCATCATCACACAAAAGCATGATCCAAATGGAATGCATGCTAGCTTTGCTAGAAGCTGGACCAGCTAGCTAGCTATGCTGATATAGCTCATGAGTCATGATATAAGAGTCAATGCTAGCTTTTCATACTATAGCCATTAGTATATATTTTACTGCTGATATAGCTCATTAGTATTTTACTTTATTTGTTTCTTACTATAGCCATCAGCTTTTTCCCCACTGGCTAGGTAGATGGGATGAGCTGGACTTGAGCTGCATATAGGTAGATGTGTCGGAGGTGTGATCCAGATGGCTCAGTTAATAGTGCTCAGAACTCAAAGAGATTATGATAAAATTGAAAATAACAGGAGACACATGCATAGAGCCACGCTATCTGAAATGGTTCACTGAAGGAGAGGCCATCATTATTAAGTGCGAAATTACACCACGAGAACTAAGGTTCTTCACTGACAAGATAAGGAAAGTAATCAAATTGTTGAATCTCTGTTTCCCATATCATTGGACGATGAGGTCTTAACAAACTCAATGTCCGTGAGATTTCATCTAACAATGCAATAACAGGATACAAATCGAATATGTAATTTCTAGGACCTGTAGTCATCACAGGTAGTCAGCAGCCACATTTGGCGTCCCTATGCATTTCACAGAAAATTCATAGCTCGATAAGACAACAGAACATTAAACCTGTCGCCAGCTTTCATCTTTATCAGTTCAAGCGATGAAGGAAAAATTATAGCATGATTACTTTATTTGCTGTATGGAATCTTCCAATGTAAACATCTAATATATAATCCTAAAGTCAATATGTTAATATGCACTGATGATCCACATCTTCTGTAACAAAGGAAAATACTCGACATAGTTGTAACCACGTCAATTCTGTAGTTCCACTCACTCTGAACTTGCAAATTTTGCTATCCATATTTTTGAAAACTGCTTACCAGATTTTTCAAGTTTGGTATTATATGTGGATGCTTGCTAATTCCCTTATTTTTAACATGCAAGTAGCCTGCTGTGTGCATAGCACGAATTTAAGTGTTGCATTAGTGTTGAATGTTGTGATTACAATTACAGTATGCTGTAGATGCACACCTTTCGATACTGAAATTCACTTTGCAATTTGAAGTCTAACACTGTTAAAAAGGAAGCTAACACTGTTTCGAATACTTCTCTTTTGTGCAAAATCAATCGTCGGCATCAAATAATTAGTCTCAAGACTCGGATTTGTCGCAGAGGTTCCAAGGGCCTCCGCAGTGATTGCATTTGCATTTGTGACTTATGATGATGGTTTATTATAAATTATGATGATGGTTTATTGTGACTTGTGATGATGGTTTATTGTGAATTATGATGATGGTTTATTATGCCTGTGATGATGTTTTATTGTGAATTGAGAGGGGTCCGTTATATGTGACAGATTAGTAAAAAAGGGGAGTCTTGGTCGCTTTGCTGAGTGTAACACTCGGCAAAGAGAGGAGTTGCCGAGTGTCAAGGCAAAACACTCGGCGAAGAGGCCATTTTCTATTATCTGGGAACCTTCTTTGCCGAGTGTTTTGGTTTTGCCGAGTGTATTATAATGGACACTCGGCAAAGTGACCATAAAATCTGGTCGTTGCGCGCTTGTTTGCCGAGTGTTTTGAGCGTGACACTCGGCAAAACCAAACTTTGCCGAGTGTTATGGCCCTGACACTCGGCAAAGTTTAGAAACTTTGCCGAGTGTTTTGGGCTGGACACTCTGCAAAGTTTAGAAACGTTGCCGAGTGTTTTGGTCTTGACACTCGGCAAAGTTTGTGTTTTAGGCTTGACACTTGGCAAAGTTGAGAAACTTTGCCGAGCGTTTTCGTCTTGACACTCGACAAACTTGAGAAACTTTGCCGAGTGTTTTTCCGTCGTGCACTCGGCGAAATCGCCGTCACCATGCCATCCCGTTACCATTTTTTTGCCGAGAGTTTATTTTTGCCAAGTGTTTGCCAAGTGTTTATTGACACTCGGCAAACTATTTGCTGAGTGCGCGATAAAAAAACACTCGGCAAACTATGTTTGTCGACAAATTAATGTCATGTGTTGTATGCTGAGTGTTACACTCGGCAAAGCATCACTCGGCAAAGCATTTGCCGAGTGTTTTTGGGCCTTTGCCGAGTGTCCCTGGCACTCAGCAAAACTACTGTATCCCATAGTGATGCTTCTACATACCTGCAGGTTTTTGAGGAGGTGAGGAGGCTGATGGAGTTGCACAAGGACGAAGTGACGAGCATTCACCGTCGTCGGCCACAGCCTCGGCGCTGCGCTTGCTACCCTGAACACCGTCGACATCGCCGCCAATGGCCTGAACGCCCCCGCCAGCACCAGATCCTCTCAGTCGCTGTGCCCGGTGACGGCCATCGTGTTCGCGTGCCTGCACGTCGGGGACCGTTTCTTCAAGGCAGCCTTCGGCTCCTTCCGGGACCTGAGGGCCCTCCACGTGAAGAACGCTGGCGACGTCGTGCCGGTGGTCCCGCCGCTCACGTACGTGGATGTGGCCGTGGTGCTGCCCATCGACACAGGCCGGTCGCCTTACCTCACTACCGGAAGCAATGACTTTGCCGTGTGCCAAAAAAACACTCGACAAAGGCTTTACCAAATATAACACTCGGCAAACAGCACACGGTATCTACAGTGTCGGCAAAAAAGTATTTGCCGAGTGTTTTTTATCGCGCACTCGGCAAATGGTTTGCCGAGTGTTTTTCAAAATACACTCGACAAAGGATTATTGTTTGCCGAGTGTTTTTAGGAATTACACTCGGCAAACCTATTTTCCAAAGAATAAAAATAAATTTTTTTTCTTAGCATACCATTATTGTTTGCCGAGTGTTTTTAGGAATTACACTTGACAAACCTATTTTCCAAAGAAAAAAATAATTTTTTTCTCAGCATATTTCAGTTTAATAGCTGCCATACAAAACACTCTTAGTACACCATATCTGCATGCACATCATGCTCCTGGTAACATAATTCTCATAATAACCACATGGACATAGAAATGAAGATGACAAATTTAAGAGACTAATGACTGGTACAAGTTCACAAGAATCAACGTCCAGAAAAAATTCAAAAACTATGCTACCAAAATAGTGAAGGTAAAACCATCAACACCCCAGTAGACATGTCTTCTACTCCATTCTTTATGAAACTAGCTTCTTCACTGCTGCAAGAAGGAAGAAATGTGAACATAGTACTGTATGTCGGTAATTACAAGAAATGTAGACAAACAGATGCTTTGTAGGAATTTATCTTGAGTTTACATCAAAATGCTAAAGAAATGCTTATCACCTAAAATTAACTTGATTCTCTAAAGACCATGAACAGCCCTAAGTAATATAAAACATCGCTAAAGTACAATTAAATATGAGATTGCATGAACACTATCTGTATCTGGATATGAACACTATCTGCATGGAACATCACTACAGCTCTAAATTTCAGATTGCATGAACAATATCTGCATATGAGATGTGCCAATTTTCAGTAAAGGAAGGGCAATCAGAGAGGACGTATTCTAGCAATCAGTTTCTGTATCAAAATATGCTTCCACAGCTATGTATATCAATCTTTGCGCTAGAGCATTTGAACACACTTATCACAATGTATTTGAAGAAACGTGATAAAATTCTAGAACTATAATTATGCAGCATTTTAGTACATGTATCAACTAAAATCTAATTCAACCAAACACAAGCTAGATGATAGAAATTTACAGGTTACGTATGTTCAGTATGGAAGGTGTTCAGTACATGTACACAGACAATAGTAAAAAGATAAGCTGCACAGAATAGTAAATAGAAAGAATAACTAAAATTTGTAGTATCGTATTTGAACTATTCCACTGTTAAATGCATAAATACTAATTATATCTTCACGGATGGGCTGCCTGTTAAACACAAAATGCCTCAGAAAATCATCTGTATAAAATGCCAATACCAAGAAGACAAGCAAACACCTAACTATACACAAGGCTGAAAGGGAAATTAAAATACTCCAGTACAGAAGTTTCAGTTGGTGTGGAAATTAAAATACTCCAGTACAGAAGTTTCAGTTGGTGTACATCATTGTAGAGAACTCTAGAAAATTCAAAGCATGTTTAGTCTGGTACAATCTCAGTCCCCGGTATGACCCAAAATTCAACAGACACGAAGACATAGTACTCAGATACTAAGATGAGATTGTGTAAAAAAATAACGTCATTACTCCACTGAATACCCAAATCGAAGGCAGCATAAAACCATCAACACAAGACCTAATTACAGGAAATGAGGAAAATGTCTTTTTATACCTAGTACTTGAAGCATCAAGCTTGCTTGCTTCTTCCCTGGAGGTCAGAACATCGACACCTATTGCTGAATCACAAGTTAGAAGAATATGTTTATGATTACTCTGGAAAGAAACATCAGTCCAGATCTGAGAAGGAGATTGGGAGAGAGAAACAGGACACCTTATCCAGATCGGGAGAGGACCAGGCGGCCGCATGGGCGTCGGGGAGCCCTGGGGGCGAGGGAGGCGAGGGCGTGGGGAGCCCCTTCGGGATGGCGAGGGTGCGGTCGCGGGGATCCCCTCGGGGCCGGGGCGACCGGCGACGCAGATGTGGGGAAGCAACCTCGGGGCGGCGGCAACTGGCGGCGCGGCCGACGGAGATCCCCTCGTGGCGGCGGCTGCCGGTGGCGCTGGCTTGGGGGATCCACCTCAGGGCGGCCGCGGCTAGCAGTGCAGGCGTGGGGAAGCTTCCTCATGACGACAGTGGCGGCGCGGGCGTCGGAGATCCACCTCGAGGTGGCGTCTTCCGACGGCAAGACCGTGGGGGAGCCCTCTTGGGGCGGGGGCGGCGTGGGCGTCGGGATCCCAGGCGGCGGAGAGGGAGGGGAGGGGGGCACGGCGGAGAGGGAGGGGAGGGCGGGGCCGCGCCGGCGCCGGAGAGGGAGGAGGGGAAGGAGGAGGTGGCGCCGGCGGGAGGAGGGGAGGGGCGTGGAGGCAGCTGGGAGAGGGGAGCACGATGAAGTGCAGAGGGCTGGCGCTCCCGAGGACGGTCATCGTGGTTATAAAGTATAGAAGCTTTGCCGAGTGTCCCAGATCTGACACTCGGCAAAGCAGTGTTTGCCGAGTGTCTTAGATTTGACACTCGGCAAAGGATTTTTTTATTTTTTTTTATTTATTTTTCTCTTTTCATGGAGGGACACGTGGCGCGATATTTGCCGAGTACTGTAATTTGCCGAGTGTTTTTTCCCATATTTGCCGAGTGCCGGAGTTTGCCGAGTGTTTTTCAGTAGAATTGTCGAGTGTCAGAATATGTTTACCGAGTGTTTTCTAGTAAGGCACTCGGCAAACAGAGAGTTTGCCGAGTGTTAGAATCTTTGCCGAGTGTTTTTAGTTTGGCACTCGGCAAAGAGATGGTTTCCGAGTGTCCGATAAAATACACTCGGCAAAGAATATGACACTCGGCAAAGCCTTCGATTCCGGTAGTGCCTGCGGCCGCCGGGCACGCCGCAGACGCTCCACAACCTCGAGTGCTACCTGCACGGCGTCGCTGGCGAGCAGGGCAGCGCCGGAGGGTTGAGGCTGGAGGTGGACCGCGACGTGGCGCTGGTGAACAAGGGCGCCGACGAGCTCAGAGATGAGTACCCGGTGCCGGCGAACTGGTGGGTGCCCGAGAACAAGTGGATGGTCAGGGGTGCCGACGGCCACTGGATGCTCAAGGACTTCGAGGATATCTAATTGTATAGACGCCCAGCTTAACTACAGAAAATGAACACATAACAAACTTATAAATCGCAGTTTCCACATAATAAACTTAATTATAAATCATCGTAAATCCTGAGCAATTTGGGTACTGTTATTCACGCATTCTGTATGACAGTATATATGAGCATACTGCTTATATATGTTTGTATTCACGAGAGGCATTTCAAACTTGACTAGCTAGATTTGCTTGAAGTCCTGGAGCGTCCAGTGGCCGTCGGCGCCGCGGACCATGCCCTTGTGCTGAGCAGACCACCACTCCGCCGGCACCGGGTACTCGTCCCTGAGCGCGTCGACGCGCTTGTTCACCAGCGCCACGTCGCGGTCCACCTCCAGCCTGAACCCTCCGGCGCTGCCCTGCTCGCCGGCGACGCCGTGCAGGTAGCACTCGAGGTTGTGGAGCGTCTGCAGCGTCCCCGGGTGGCGCAGGTACGGCGACCGGGCCGTGGCGATGGGCAGCGGCACCGCCACGTCGAAGTAGCTGATGAGCGGGTACGTGTGCACGATGTCGCCGGCGTTCTTCACGTGGAGCGCCCTGAGGTCAGGGAACGACCGGAAGGCCTCCCTGAAGGTGAGGTTCCCAACGTGCGGGCTCGCGAACACGATTGCCGTCACCGGGCACGGCGGCTGGGAGGAGCTGGAGGGGGCGTTCACGCCGTTGGCGGCGATGTCGATGGCATTCAGGGTGGCGAGCGACGCGCCGAGGCTGTGGCCGGTGATGGTGATGCTCGTCGCCTCCTCCTTGTACAACTCCATCAGCCGCCTCACCTCCTCAAGAACCTGCACACGTACGTGATAGCAGTTATGCATGGTTCATTAATTAGTTACTAAGTTTTTGATTTTGGTAATGTTGTACGCATCGCAGTAATGGACGACCTTTCATGGATAGCCAAAAAGTATTTAGTCCTGACTTAAAAATTATAACCGTGACTAAAGGGACAAGGCATTTAGTCTCAGTTTGTAATACAAACAGAGAATACCACCTTTTAGTCTCGGTTGTAACGGTTACCAAGGCGTGTCAGTGCGAGAAGCTTTATTTAGTCCTGTTTTGACATACGAACTAGGACTAAAAGCGATTTGAGACACGAACCTGGACTAAAGGTTTCTTTAGAGCGATTTAAAAGGAAATCGTACATTTTCTAAGTTATTAGATGTGTGATGGAAGTTGAGATGGCAACACGCACAAGGGCTAAAATGAGAGGTCTTGGGTTCTAATCTCTATAGCCGCATCTTTTTTTTACTCAAGAATCGAGACCTTTAGTCCCCCAGTTGTAGGAATCGGGAGTAAAAATTGAGACCTTTAGTCCTGATTGCATAGAAACTTAAGGGGTTGAGAACCAGAACTACAGCTAGTTTCTCTACTATAAAGGCTTGGATATTGAGAGACTAGGAATTTGGCAATCACATGTGTTCACCACAGTGAGAGCATGACGGCTTCAACTACTTCCAAATCTATTAAAAAATACATACTTGTTCATATGTAACGAAGGGATCGGAAGGTCACTGAAACAACTTATCTACAATCCTCACACCAGCAAGTATATAATAATATGGGCAAATAATAAAATTCATCCTTAGCCAAGTTGAGGCTTTTATATTTGTAAAAAGCCTTAGCTTACCTGTATATAACACGGTTCTTTCATCATTTGACTATACTAGTCTATCAATCCATGCTCCTACGGGTGAGAATCATAGAAGACATAAGCATGGATTATTGTTTAATATCTCTTACTAACAAAAGTTATTTAAATTAAATTGCACATATTTTTTTTGTCTTTGTTCAATTTTGTAACATAATAGACATATATACAATTGTGATAAACTTATGAATTATTGACTATATGTTTTCAAATCCATAGTTTGTTTTGTACGCCACCTCTGCGTACCAGGTATGGTGAACCCTGGCGCCCACTAGCGATGCCCAGAGGTATGTGGGGGGCTTTTTGCCGTATGGGAGCCCAATGGCGCCTACAATACTGTAGACACAAATGTCGGTGCCTACAATACTGTTTGTGTCAGGGCGGTTGAGGAGCACCCGCAGGCGTACAGGGTATGGTCCCGATATCGTGGTTTGACTTTGTGCACTGCCTTCTCCGTTTGCGCCTGGTCCCTTCCGAGCGGGCGTCCCCGGTCGGATGGCCCTAGTCGGCCCTGGCCGCGCCAGTCGGAGAAGAGTGGTAAGCAGCCTTCCTACGGGGTCCCTGATCGGAGACGTGGGGTCGGAGTAGGAAGCGGTGTTTTGGGCTAGGCCTTTCTGATCGGAGAGACCACCCGGAGGCGGCTGGTGCCCGAAGCGGATGCTCCGGTCGGAGAGGTGGGCCGAAGAAATTTGATGAGCGGGCGCTTGTACTTTTGGGTAGACCTTCCGGTCGGCGACCGGACTTGTCCTTTTGGCCCATTGTGTTTTAGACTCTTGGGCCGGCCCATGAATTACGTGTTGTTTTCCTGGGCCGAGCCCTGGCATGGAAGCCGGTCCCCGAGGGACCCCGGGTTTATGAACCCGACAGGAGCCCCCGAGACCCCGGGCGATTTGAGCGGAATCGTCCGGGGGATTTTTGTCTTGCCGGCGGGTGTAGCCCCCGAGCCCCCGGGCGGTTCGGGCAGAACCGGCTGGGGGGTTTTCTGTGTTGTCAGTGGGGGAGGTTTTTCTGTTGTGTCGGCGGGTGCGCGTGAGCGCACCCGCGGGTGTAGCCCCCGAGCCCTCGGGCGGTTTGGGCAAAACCGGCTGGGGGTGTTGTTTCAGTGGGCGTGTGTGCATGTTTTTAGTTTTGAGATGGTTTTTTGTTTAACCACGGTGTCATTGCGCAGCCGAGGTGGTGAGGTGCGGGGATTTGGATTGAGACAGAACTTACTGATCCTGGCGTCGGTGCGCGCCGTGGACCGGGTGAGAAGGTTAGTTCGGGACAAACCCTGGCGTCGGTGCGCGCCACGGATGGAGATAGCTCGGTTCGGACATGTCAGAGTTCACTGATCTTTGGCGTCGATGCGCACCGTGGGATCGAGCGAGGCGGGGCCACGAACGGACCCAGGCGTCGATGCGCGCCGTGGATCGAGAGAGTTAGTTTAGTTAGTTCAGAATCGGACGAGCCGGAGCTCGTGGATCCTAAGTGAAGCTGTTACGCGAGTTTAGGAGTCGCGGTCCCAGGTTTATTGGAGCGCAGTCGGAAGTGAAGCCGTTACGAGAGTTTAGGAGTCGCGGTCCCAGGAGCCGTAGCCGGATGTCATAGATCCTGTCGACGCGAGTTCAGGGTCGCGGTCCCAAGAGCCGTAGCCGGATGTCGTAGATCCTGTCGACGCGAGTTCGGGGTCGCGGTCCCAAGAGCCGTAGCCGGATGTTATAGATCCTGTCGATGCGAGTTCGGAGTCGCGGTCCCAAGAGCTGTAGCCGGATGTCATAGATCCTGTCGACACGAGTTCGGAGTCGCGGTCCCAAGGTTTTTGGAGCGTAGTCGGAAGTGAAGCCGTTTTGAAGCCGAAGCATAGTTAGTTTGGTTAAAGATCGGAAGAGGCGATGCTCGCGGATCCTGGCGTCGGTGTGCGCCGCGGGACTGGGCGAGTCGGAGTCATGGATCTGGCGAGTACAAGGTCGCTGTCCTTGGCATTTGTCTTGAGCCCCTGAGCCTTATCGGGCCTTCGTGGGGGTCGATGTGAGTATTCTGCATTACCCCATCCTCGGCTCCTCACAACCGGAGGGGCTGAGTTTCATCGCCTGTCCCGATCGCTCGGGCTCGAAGACTAGCTCAGTGAGTTCGCTAACGGGTGTGATCGAGTGGAATCCGGGTCCGTCGTTCGTGACGGGGTCGGCATAACCCTCTTGTGACATTCCACTACTCCTTTACCTGCAACCCGACAGATGCCTAGGTCGTTCCAGAGACCGACCCAGGTGGCCTAACGGCCTCCCCTCGATGGAGATTTTATGGGCCTAGCGAGAGGTTCAAGATCGAACGAGAAGTTTGAGATGACCCGGTCTACCGGACCGGGCGAGGGCCGCACGGTGCTCATTTACGGTTTTCTCCCCTAGCTCTATTCGTTGCTCATGTCGAATGAGGCAACCGCCGCTTCGTGATGCAACACGGAGCATTCTGATGCATCTCGCTGCATGTGCGATGCTTAGTTCCCGAGCCCCTGGGCGGTTCATGCCCTAACTGTCCGGGGGTTTAGGCGTATGGAATGAATGCGCGTATGGATGTATGAATGATTTAAAGAAATAGAGGGTTTTTTATAGTGTTTACCTTAACGACTGGAGTGACGGGGCTCGAAGAGCTTCAGTCGGAAACGTCCGACCGGGACCCATGCTCGTCGTTCATGATAGAGTCGGCATGGCCTACATGGGGCGTCCCTTCGCTTCCTACCTATGCCCTGGTGTGGATACTGAGTGACTCGATCGACTCAGGGGGCCGGTTGATCTCCCGGTGGAGATTTCATTTTTGGTCTCCCCAGGTCTGTCCTGGGGAAGCGAGAATCCGCTCACGTGCGGTGGCGCATCGGTTCCTGTGCCCGTCGTGTGGTAGTGGTTGATCGTGCGGTGGTGGTGGGCCACGGCTAGGCCACATCCTGTCCAATCAGGAGCCGTTCCATCGAGCAGGGCGCGTCTCATCGGTTCCGGGCACGTCAAATCTGCATTAAATGGAAAAGAGAGAGAAATTCTTGCTCCGCCTTTCTGCCTTCCCCGATCAGCGCGTCCTTCCTTAACTGATGTTCCCTTTCCTTTAAGTAGGGGCAGGGAGAGGCACTAGTACACAAAGTTTAACCGCGACGGGCGGATCTGGTTTTCAGCGGCGAGCAACTGTGTCCGCCACGCCCAGATCATCACGGTAAATCAAGATTTACCGTGACGGACCCCAGTTGCCCGCCGAGGTAAACGTAAAAATACAAAAAAAAAGAGAGCCCAACGCAAGCCCATCTAGGCCCGACGTCGAGCCCATCTGCCGCTGCATCGCCGTGCCTGCGCCGCCACGCCGCTGCACCTCCACCGC